TTTGGTGGTACTTGACCATGTCAGTATACTAGTATCAACTATGAACCCAACGGTAGAAGAAGAAGGAGTTTGTAGTATCGTTAGGAGCGTGCTAACGAAGAACAGAAAAAGAATTGGCGATGAAGATGACCCTTGAGGTATTCCTGTGCTGGTGGAGATTTGATTTCCTCTGTGTGTATCGAGGACTACCGAGGTAGTTCTCTTTTCTAGGAATGATTGTACAAATCTACTGATCCACCCTGGAAAGCCTTTTACTCTTAGGTTGTGGATTAGCCGTTCGTGGGAGACGTTATCGAAAGCCCCTGATATGTCGAGACTGAGAAGAGAAGCGACCTAGTATTTATTTCCTCTCCAAAAAGTGTGTATCTGCTCCGTGATAAGCTCAACTGCTGCTACGTAAAACCTTCTTGTGACGGAAACCCAGTTGGTAGTGAATAATTCGATTTATTAATCTATATGAGGAGAAAGGAGAACTCCAGCTACTACTAGCAGGTATTTGTAAGAATTGGCCCCGGTCATCAATCTCCAGACCGATGACTTATCCTTAGACACAATACTTGCTACCCAGCCACGCATTGCCAGGTGTTACTTAGTTGTAGTAACGCTTCGACCTCCTGACTAGTAGTGCCGTCTTGTTCAGCTTCATCTATCCCTCCTCATGCAGTCTTGTCGTAAATATTCTCAACATTACGCTTAGGTATTCACCTAAGCTCAAACAACGGTCAAACAGTAACACTTCTTGATAGATGTGATTGAACAATGAACTTTTTGTTCTGCTGATGGCCAGCATTACGATGCAAAAGGATGATATTCACTGGGATTGAAGGAAGAACTTTCCAGGAGGTTTCATGATTAGTGGAGGGATAAAGAAGCACTGTATGGGAAGTGTTTTTAGGTTATACTACCAGATGGAGGAGACTAGAATATTCCGTGGTACTGTTTTGGGTAAATAAGGCGAGAGTCTAGCTACCTCAGATGTGTATATAATTAGCGCTATCTATCTCTTGAATCCTCGTAGTCCTGAGCATTAATAGTTAGCAGTTTACAGTGATCCATTGATTATCATACCTAAACCTTCTGCAAATAAATCCTCCGTAAGCTCTTACGTTTACAATAGAACTACTGCAATTTCCAACCACAATCACGTTGGGGTATCACATGAATCATATCGCGCAATTTTTTCGGTGGAAAATGTAAGGAAAGAAGATGTCGAGTTTAATTTTTATTGTGCTATTTAAGACCACGTTTGTCTCGAGTATTGTGCTCCTCTCTGACCTAGACAACACCTTGTGCAGTACTCCTTACCTCTTATGTTACTTGATAGATCATTAATAAATTTCTTGTGATGAATAGCCGTTCAGCTCGGTACTTACCCCTGGAATTTGGCCGCCTTTTCTACGGAACCTTCTACCAAAAATAAATAAAATGATAGCAATGGAAACTGCGTGCGCGGGAAAAAGTCTCAAAAACTTGAAGCCCCAGCCAGGCGAGGCCTAGACACCGGGATCACATGAGGTGCGCATATTCATCTATATCTCCCTTCTTTGTATCTGTTGAGGCCGACTTCGTCCAATCCACCATCTCAATATCGAGTGCTGGGTACGCTCCGGAAGTTCATCGGATGGCTTTTCCTTCATGATCAAGGGTTGGTGATGAGAAGGGCTCCGATTCTACCATCTGATCTGATCGTGGTTAGCTTCATGGCAATGGTGATATGGGGATGTGTTGAGGGAAGTTTTGAGGGAAGACGGTACAGATGGCGAAAGCGATTGGGAATCCTCATCGAATTGAGGACTTTGTTACTCAATCTCGGCTCAGCAGAATGTCATGGTTCTTATCATGACTCTCCATAAAAGGGTGAAAGCATGCCAAAGCAGCGGTGGGGGGTCTAGTTATCATAGTAACACAATTATACAGGAACGGAGAGGACTGGTGTTATTATTGATACTAGCGCCGAGCAAGTCCGAGGAGACCTTTAAGTAGTCCTCGTTCACATCATTAGAGGACGTGCGACGTTTTGTTAGATTTCCGTATCTTGTCCGCATCCTATCTTGTTCGGATTAGGTCCTGGTCAACGATGTCTAGCCTAATTGTGCTATGTTGCAGGCTACTGTTCCCATTATTCATGGGGTCACCATCAGGGTTGTGAATAGTTTCGGTTCGGTGTGGGTTTTTAGATTGATACCTGAGCGTGTCGCATAGCAGTCAGACATGCGACTCGAGTAGCATATGCACGGTAAACCTCAACCCCAAAATGATGATACGAATCAGGCTTTTCATTTTTTTATTTTTTTTTTAAATCATTTAATGTGTATTCAGCTATCTAGCTATGACACATGACCGGCGCTATGTATATATATGGGATGACTCTTTTGACGTTAGAGACACTCATACTCTGGATTTCATTTGCAAATACCACTACGAGGTATGTTCGCTTACACAAACAGTCGACCCTCCTCCGTTAGTACCCACCAAAGGGAATTTAAAAACCTTTGATTATCCAAGCATACCTTCGTCATCCATGCATACCAGCGCCGCGAGAAATGTGGTTGTGTTTTGCCGGATTCGAACCAGCGATCTACTGTCTCAAGTGGGATATGTGTCCAAGCTATCCAGACTCTACTTGGCAGACCGGCCAAGATGATGTACCACCGCACCATCCAACCATGGCAGTTTTTATAGTGTCGCCTGCACTCTCGCAGCCGAAGACTTGGCACGCACAAAGCTCAATTCGTAAAAACTCCTTTCCAAAATTCAAAATTCCACGCCCGTCGAGACTGTATTCAATCCTCTGTATCATCTTATTAACTTGTCCTGATCCCTCTCACATCCATCCCAAGGAATTATCTTCCAGATTTGTGCGCCACGCTTTGCTTCCTCCGTCGGGTGTAAATATCGGCGTGGGCGTGTATCTGGCGACCAGCTAAGGCCAGAGAAAGTCGACAAGAGGTGTGGTCATTGGGATGAGGATGTACTAGGTCGTACTTGTAAACTTGATGAGGTTTAGGTAGGAATCGATTTCGTTGGGAGTGAAAGATTGATATGGTGGAGTAATTTGAATCATTGCCTCGTGTGCCAACTTGTTCGGTATTGCGAAGTTTGACTGAACTTGGCTCTGGGAGAATATTTCACTCCCAGGTTCGTAGAGGACACCGCGTACAGGTGTTCAGTCTTGCCCTCCATCAGGCTTTTCATGCTACGTCCTGTATGGCTAGCTTGGTTGGAATGTGGGGAATTTACCTGTAGATAGATAAAGACGTTGTAGCCCTCTGATAGTTGGGATAAGTCTTCTACAATATTATATCGGAATGTTGGTATGACAAAGGTCATACACTACAAGCCAATAGGTTCACTTGAAGTTATGAGAGTACTGCAGTACGTAATGAGAACAATTGTTCGATTGGGTTCGATTGATTATGTATATCTCTCCCCTAAACTATAGCCACGAAGTTGGTATCTATCCTCGGATAATAGTTTACCCGATATAAAAGAATTACAAAGAGAACTGTTATACATCATGCAGGGACCACCAACTCCAAACCCAAGATAGACTCAACCGAATTAATCGTTCCGACACGGAATCAATACTAGCCGCTCATTAAGCAATCTCATGAATTATTTCCAATGTCTGTGATAATAGACGTACATATACAATATTGACAACAAGCTTTAAAGTCGATAATATCTTGTCTACGTTCCATCTTACACATCTTGTTAATATATTGTCCCGTGACTTCTATCTTGCATACTCTCTCGCCCCGCAACACAGGCTCTACAGCGAGAGCTGAAGTTCCATAGGGGACATCACTATAAGGGTTTGAGAGTAGACCCCATTTTCGCGTGGGTTGCGCAGTGACTGACTAGTATATTCCTGACGCTGGTGGTGTTATGAATGCGCTTTCACTTTAGTAGTAAATTATCATGTGCGCAGTGTAGCATGCAGATTCAGGGAAATGGAAACAGGTTAGTGATAAATTAGATACCACCGATTGATACACTCACTCGTGGATCACTCTTAAAAGAGACTAGCTACGGCGCTATCTGGAAGTATGTGGGATTGGTTAATTATCATGTAAATAACCCGTAACATGACATAATATAACAACACAATAAGATACCATTCGCATCCCGTAACATTTATTGCCATAATCACCCAAGTAGATTCTAAGCCCCCTGAGTAGTCACAACTCTTCAATTGAAGATACTAAGTGTATACGACCATATACACCACCGCACTTCTATAGGTGGCATAGTAGCTATTTCAGAAGCAGCATTTCAGGCTGAGCTCCCAAGTCTTTCCTCGAGGACCTTTCCTTTTAGATAGCTTCGGTTGGATTTCATGCTAGTTCTTGTAGTAATAAGATCTTGATGGCTTCATTAGTCTCTACAAAGGGCAGTTCATCTTTTCCAACTCCTACCCAAACGTATAAATAGATTTCATCTTTTTCAATAGGGATCCCAAGGTTCTGGCATTGTTCTCAATAGGTGACGATTTTTATCCCTACCCTATAATTCAGATACTGTTACTTCTTTGTGCAACGCCTTGAGAACACAAATTTTCACTCCAATAGCTCTCCTACCCGCCATTCATTTTTGCGGCAGGTTTAAAGATGGAGAAAGCGTGTGATACACAAAAATGTTTCTTATAATTTTAGACTATAATGCTGTGTACATGAAGCATTGCGCAGCTTTTCGTATGATGTTGTGTTTTTTAACTATTATAAATATATTTGGACAATGATTCTAGTGAAACCCCATGCTCCATCCCAAGTTTGTGATATTCCTGTTAAGTTACATTCAAGGTTTAGCAGAACATCGAAGCTAAGGTAGTTACTTCCCTTGTATCCCAAGTAACAGAATTTGATCATCATTATGACTATTTCCGAGATCTGAGTTAAAGTTGGTTGATACGCCACCATATAAAACGAGACTTGAATGTAATAAATGTCTTCATATCTTCTCTTTCCGTACCTACAATAATCTCATTTTTCCTTTTTTCTCTAACTGAGATCAAATCCTGCACCCGAATGGACCGCATAGAGCAATTTCTCTTTCAAATTACATTCGTTTGCGTATCTGGGTAGTTTCAACAGGTTTACGCATGTACTCGTGCTTGGGAGCCTCTCTTCATCATTACCCGAATCTCGAATGGTGAATAGGGGATTTAGTTGAGAGAAACCAAGTAGCGGGGCGCGGGGTGTTGAAGTAACATACTTCAACACTTTCCGACGATCTGAGTCATCAAGGGATTTGAAAACTTTCCAAAAAATTTTAATAGTATCGTGCTCTTCACCATCATCCCCGATTTGATATGCACCACTGTACACGGTATTTCTCCGGAGATCATCAATATCAATTTCTGAAGAATCGCCACTAACAAGTCTCTGTAGCTCAGATTGATTGAACATTGATATCCAGGTTGGATTTATTACGTCAGTCAACCCTTTTAAAAATGCTTGTGTTTGCTGATGGGGCTGTATTTGAAGTCGGTGACGTGCTACATAAGACACGTAGAGGGGTCTATTTTCATTATTTACAGGTACTTGTGAGCCATTAGGTATTAGTTCTCTCGTAATTGTTTTATTGACTCCATTTTTCAGTGTGATTGAATCTGTAATCGTGAAGTCTAGAAAAAAATCTTCCACGTTGCCATGATAATTTTTAAGCTTCAGTAGGCCCTGGTGTAAGCTTTCGTCGAGATCTCTAAGGTGGTCGATATTAGCCCGATACCCAAAGTCTGATCCCATCAGTCCCGAAGTAGCCCACTTCAGAAGGAAAAAGCCGGCAAACTCTATATCAATAAGAATACCCTCATATAAACACTTCCCCACAATACGACCTAAGAAGACAAATTGACGCAGGATTTCAATAATCCTCAAATTCCAATGCAGGGATGATTCCTGGTATCCTTCAAGCCGCAAGGATTCTCTTTCCTCATCTAGAACAGAGGGATTCGGATACAAGAGGTTTTGGTCATTTGTGATAAATAGCTTAGGGTCATTCTTCAAGCAGAATGCTTCATTGCTGATACTTGTCAGGAACTCTTTCGTTACTCCTCCACCATCTATGCCAGCCTCAGCTGCATCAAACTGGTCTACAAAAGTAATCTGAATTGGCTCCTTTATTCCTTCACCAAGACCGTAAAATTGATGATAAGCATCCTCAAATACGTTGCTGCGCCTTATTTTTGCATGATGGCGTCCGAGAATATCATGAGAGGAGCTTGTATTATTCCGTTGATTTAATGGATGCTGAAGAATTGAGACACGCCAGATATCCGGATCTACATAGCCACCTCTCCTTCTTGTCTGATCGAGCAGAACAAATTGTCGAAAAATCTTGACACGGGTCTCAAACGGAATAACGAAAGGCATATTTTGGAGAACATTAAGACGGGGCCCTACACCAGCCGTAAATTTTGGCTGGATAATTGAATGAGGCACACCTCGCAAGTTTTCATCCTGAAGCGCTTGTCGTGGTCTTATTGTTCCGATAAATTGAGATGTGGATCTGCTTTCAAAAAAATTTAGATTTTCGTTACTTTCCATACCATCGTCACTATCCCCACTAAGATCGTGCAGTCTCTCTTCTTCTACAACTACTGCTGGTATAAAACCCCCCATCTCGAACTGAGCCGTCATTAACCAATGATCCTTCGGAAGAAAATTCCTTCTTGAATCTCTTTCATAGATTGTGTGCATGGTTCTAGTAACTATTACTTTAACGTAGTTGATACTAACTCCCAATATCCCGTAAAAAGGCCGGCTGCTTGCATTATTCCCGGCTAGACCAGGATATTTCAGTTGATGATTTGATACGGCTGTATGATTTCCGAAGAAGGTTCCAACACAATTTTCATTCAAGCTCGCACTGTCGTCTAGAAGTTCATGACCTTGGTAGTAGATAGCAAAGGCTAAATTTTTGAGAAATGACGTTAAATTCTTTAAATCATTGATGGACAGAGCACATTGACGAGGACGAGACACTGTGTTGCTTCCTAGGTCCATATGAGGAACATTTAAACTCAAGAACTCTTCATCATCAATAAACCTTAATGTGAATAGATAAATCTCGAGAAAAAGAAGTATTATGGACAAATCTTGATCTTCCGAGTGATCTTTTGAGACTTCTGAGTTCTCTTGGATGGCACAGCGTAAAATAGGTAGTGCGGTTCTTGATTCAAAACTTATGGCTGAGAACATGTAGGTTGCACGTGTAGCATGCCATAGGAAACTTGAAGTAGGAACTGAGTCACCGTTTGGCGTCGTTACTGAAGCGAGATAAAGCCACATCCTAATTTCATCTCCACGTCGGGGAAAAATTCGTAGGAGTGTGAGTGCATAATTGGTAGTTAAGTGCAAGCGTTTCCCTGTGATTTGGGAAGATGTTAGGTGATCAATTTCAAGGTTAGTAATCAATGCAGTAACACTTTCCTGCGTGATTAAGGAGTTCAACTCATCTAAAATAAATTCGGGCAAAGGTTTTGCATGTTTAGCATTATCATCAGTGTATCTCAACTCGTTCAAGATATCATCATTTTGATGGTCAATTCTACAAATTATTTCATCAAAAGATTCGGATAGTTGCACTGAAAGAGCTCTCAAAAACTTCTGGTTATTTGTAGTCTGCTTATGGAATCGATTGAATGAGATAAAATAAGCAAGTAGCCATATCTTTCCTTCGTCATCTACTGTACTCGCGTTGCCTGTGGAGAACAGATAAGCTAAAGTAGTAGAAAGGAGATTAATATCAATGAAAGAGGAAATTTCGTCGAATCGGTTTATAAGGCTTGGCAATTCGGGGGTAGTCAAGTAGTAAACTGCAAACGACTCATATATCTTCATCATACCTTTTGAAAATTATCAAATTAGTATACGAAACTTAAGTAATAAGGATGCTCCTACAGTTATCCTCTAAGTTTGAGCACTGAGTTAGAGCAAGTTTCAATGCTGTCTGAAAACTGCTTGTATTGTCGATAAATAACCTATCCTTGGACATAGCTGAGAGAAGAGTAAAGAATTCCTGTAATATTCGCGTGAATATACTAGGACGATGTTCTAATATTGAAATGAGCAACTGAAACAAATCATGTTGGTATTCTGGTAGGGAACTAACAGATATTAGCAATTGAGATATCAAATCATCAACTCAAGATACGTTAGAAACATACGTATTAAGCGCCTCAACTAAATTAAATGCCAGTGGTAAAATTAAGTGATCTGCTCGGTCAGCAGTCATGCAGGTTGCAAGCCCGCTTGTAACTACGTTAGAGCTCAGTCTTTTTATCCTTTCTAGGTCATCTTTTCTCGTTTGCCTGTAAAAAGAGACCAAAAGTTTTATCTGAGCCAACAAACGTGATTCCAAATCAAGCCCCCCTTGATTGAGCTCCAGGTCATCCCATTCTTTCCGCCTCAGGTCTTCCATCTCCCGCCTTGACCTATATCCTCTCCATACTCTTTGTATCCTTATAGCAGACCTAAGTCGCTCTCGCTCTTGCTGCCGTTTCAATCGCTTTTGTTGGGCATTAGCAACAATGATCTGGCTCCCAGATACCGGAGTTGCCCAAGGTGTTGGAGTCGTAGCAAAGGGGTTCAAGTTCTGGCCCGAGAGGTTGACCTGCCGCGGGCGACGAGAGCTACCACTGAAAGTTTGAAACATTTCGGACTTATAAGCCTCAGATACGTCTTGAATTACGATTCATTAATTGATATCATTTCGTCAAAATTTTGGTTGTGAAGAAGCCTTAATAATTTTTTCTTCTTCTTACCAGACGTTGAGCTCAGATCTAGAGAAATACATAACATGGAATTGGGGGTTTAGGCGTTTATATTTGAACGTAGATATTGGGACTTGTTAATCACTCGGAGGCTTTCGGTACTCGGTGTGGAGTACAGCATCGCAAGGAGCGACGACTCAGTTGCAACAAGTTTCATAGCCTCGTCCATGGGCTAACTATATACAGCTAGCGGCTACCACTGACTTATCAAAAAAATTCCCGCTGCCATTTGTCATCTTGCAATCCAACTTTATTCAACGATTTCCAACGGAGGCGGATCAAGTACGATTCCTGTTTCTTTCGGTCTAACCCACCTCTTCTCTTTCAAAATTCTCACTTTGAGACACAAAAAAAATTGAAAACCTATAAAACCAGTTTCTCAAAAATTTCGATTCGATCTATAATCTTCTTCGCAAGAAAAGATTTCTACCTCGTCCTTTAAAGAATTTTATTGTCAAAATTCTAGCTTTCTCTAGTTCCTTGTTTCCGTGAGAAACTCAACATCAAATGTTAGTATTCTGCCAAATTAATAATATTAAGAAGTGTAATTCGTTTGCTCATATGGTACTTTAGTTCAAACAAGGATAGAATTTCCACAGAGAGCCAGAATGTCTAACGCCACAGTTGATCAGATTACTTCAGAGCTCAACGAGACCTCCTTGAACACCAATGAAACTAATGATGTTCCTGCAATTAACACCACCGTCTCCAATACTGCATCTGAGGATCTCGACAATGCTTGCCAAACTCCTCAAAGTACCGTAGCCCCTCATCCTCAGGCATCTGCATCCCTCTATGTTGGTGAGCTTGACCCCTCGGTAACCGAGGCAATGCTATTCGAGTTGTTTTCTCAGATTGGAAGCGTCGCCTCAATCCGTGTTTGCCGTGATGCTGTAACTCGACGTTCTCTTGGCTATGCGTATGTCAACTACAACACCACAATCGACGGTGAAAAGGCTCTGGAAGAACTTAACTATACTTTAATTAAGGGACGCCCATGTCGTATTATGTGGTCACAACGCGACCCTGCTCTTCGTAAGACTGGACAGGGCAACATTTTCATCAAGAACTTGGACACGGCAATTGATAACAAAGCCCTTCATGACACATTTGCTGCTTTTGGTAACATATTGAGTTGTAAGGTTGCCCAGGATGAAAATGGAGCCTCGAAAGGCTATGGATTCGTTCATTATGAAACTGATGAGGCTGCAAGCCAAGCTATCAAGCATGTAAACGGCATGTTATTGAATGAGAAAAAGGTTTTTGTTGGGCACCATATCCCAAAAAAAGATCGCCAAAGCAAATTCGAGGAGATGAAGGCTAATTTCACTAACGTTTACATCAAAAACATACCGGTCGAGGTCACAGATGAAGAGTTCCGCGATCTTTTCGAGAAGTATGGTGAAGTGACATCAGCCTCACTCGCACGTGACATGGATACGGGGAAAAGCAGAGGATTTGGATTTGTCAACTTTGTCAATCACGAACATGCGGCGCTTGCAGTGGATGAATTAAACGGGAACAATTTCAAAGGACAAGACCTATATGTTGGTCGCGCACAAAAGAAACATGAACGCGAGGAGGAACTCCGCAAATCTTATGAAGCGGCACGGATTGAAAAGGCATCCAAATACCAGGGAGTCAACCTCTATGTGAAAAATCTAGATGATGATTTTGATGATGAAAAACTGCGTGAACTGTTTACTCCATTTGGATCCATCACCTCGGCTAAGGTAATGCGTGATAATGTTACAGAGTCTACAGAGCTTGACGATAAAGAATCGAAAGATGCTGATAAAGATAAAGAAAATGTAAAAGAAGAAGAAAAGGAAGACGAAACAGAGTCTGATGCGACCAAGTTGGAAAAGCGACCTATGGGAAAAAGTAAGGGTTTCGGATTCGTCTGCTTCAACAATCCTGAGGAGGCCACCAAAGCTGTTGCGGAAATGAATCAGCGAATGATAAATAACAAACCTCTCTATGTTGCATTGGCGCAACGAAAGGATGTGCGAAAGAGCCAACTGGAGGCCAGTATTCAGGCCCGTAACCAAGTTCGCATGCAACAGGCTGCTGCTGCTGCTGGTATGCCACAACAGTACATGCAAACGCCTATATTCTACCCGCCCGGACAGCCTGGATTTGTTCCCCAGGCTGGTGGTCGTGGCATGCCATTTCCTCATTCTGGAATGTCTAACGCACCAGTCGGTCGACATTTTTCAGCTGGGTTTCCCCCACAAGGTGGCCGTGGAGGCGCAGGACCACAACAACTTCCTCCAAGCATGTACGGACTTCCTGCTCAATTTCCATCCAACAACCCCTATGGCCAACAGCAAAATCCTCAATTCATCGCTGCGATGCAACAGGCTACCCAGGCAGCTGCATTAGTTGGGGGACGACCTGGACCAGGCGCCCGTGTGCCTCTACAGGGTATTCCCAGTATGCCGCCTAACATAGCAGTTCTACAAGGGCAACAAGGTATGCCCCCGGCCTTCAACCAGGCAAGTCGACAACCAGGTATTGCCGGTCGAGGTTCACAAGGACCGCGTCCTAATCAGTACCAAGGAGCAACTCCTCAAGCTGTTAGAAATGGAATGCCCCCGCAGATGATAGGAATGCCACAAGGATCACCAGAGAGCGTCTTACAAGCTCAGCTAGCTAGTGTCCCTCCACAGCAACAGAAGCAGGTGCTTGGTGAAGCGCTCTTTCCTAAAATTCAGGTCCTTCAGCCAGAGCTGGCTGGAAAAATAACCGGTATGCTCTTGGAAATGGAAAACCAAGAGTTAGTTAATCTGTAAGTATCCCCGTCACCTCCTATCTGTATTTCTAACGAGTTTTAGCATTGAGGATAATACTGCTCTTCGAGCAAAAGTAGAAGAGGCTCTAACCGTCTACGATGAGTATGTTAAGAACAACAAAGAGGAGGGCGGAGAGAATGAAAATTCTACCGAAAATCCCGATGAAAAGGCTTAATTCATTACTATCTCATGAAAGAATGCTCATTATTCTGAACTCACTTTATAGAATATGTCGAAAAAAAGTACGCTTGTTATATATCTCTCAGAACAAGTAAGCTATACGGCAAAGTATGTTTATTTTTCATCTGTGGCGGGACTAATAGATTATGTAAACATGAGATTTTAGATGTGCTGGCAATCAAAAGCTCACGTTCAAACTGTCTTCAAAATTCACCTGAAATATTTCTGCCAAATCAACCTTGCGAAATGAGAACAAACCAACTGCCACCCTCTCTTGCATTGCATTAAAAAATTGTTATGTAGTGTCTTACTATTCTATCAATATTGGCTCTATTGTCCCATGAATCATTAATACGGCATAAGACATAACCAAAGCAGGTCATAAGTAAATTAAATTTTAATTTCATTGTTAGACTACTTAAAACTTTGAATTATGAAATATTTGGTCTCTAGTAGTCCCTTTAAGCAGACCCTAGTGGATTTAATTTCTTCCTAATGCTCCAATGTCTTTATTTCCAACGTGACAAAGAACTCTTGTGACGCAAAGTGTGTTCAAATACAAGCCTTAGGAACGCTCTTTTTTTTGTATCTGATTATAATTGCGTATACAGTTATCTATCTATCTAGCTATCTAGCTATGACACAATATCAAAGAAAAGTACAGAAAAAATGACACAATTTACAAGAAGAGTACTCATGCCTCGGGTTTTATTTGCAAGTACCGCTGCGAAGTTGTGGTAGCTGTTTCTTCGCCCCAAGTCAACCCTCATCCGTGAATACCCACCCAGGGGAACGTCTCAAAAACCCTGAGTTATCCAGACATGCCTCCATCATCCCTTCATATTTCTCCGCGCGAAATGTGGTCTTGGCGTCTCCTTCCCAAGTGGAGTAGGTACCCAGACTACTCAAACTATACTGGAGAACACCACCAGGAGGCGGACCACGGCACCTTTCATAGTTTGCTTGTTTTTATCGTGTCAGCTGCACTCTCACAAGCGAAGTCTTGGCGCCCACAAAGCTCAATTCGTGAAAGTCCTTCCCAAAATTCAAAATCACACGCCCGTCGAGACTGTACCCATCCTCTGCATCATTTTACCAACTTGTCCTGATCCCTCTCACGTCCATCCCAAAAAACTATCTCCCTGATTTGTGCACCCCGCTTTGCTTCCTCCTTCGGATATAAATATCGGCGTGGGCGTGTATTTGGTTGCCAACTGAGGCCAGAGAAATTTGACGAGAGGTGTGATTATTGGAATGAGGATGTACTAGGTCGTACCTGTAGAGTTGATGAGGCTTAGGTAGGATTCGGAGTCTTTGGGAGTGAAAATTTGACGTGGTGGAGTAGTGTGAATCATTGTCTTGTGGGCCAGCCTCATTGGTATTGCGAAATTTGACTGAAGTTGGCTCTGGGAGAATATTTCACTCCTAGGTTCGTAGAGGACACCGCGTACAGAGGTTCAGTCTTGCCCTCCTGCTGGGCTGGTTATTATTATTTGAACGTGGCAGGCACAAGCCTGGACCCAAATCGATACGACCTGGGTGCCTGATCCCGAAAGACTTGATACTACCAAGACAACTAATTAAACATGAACAAGGAAAAATCATGAAATTTTAATTTCTGAGTCTGCTACCCTAAATGTTGTCTACCGGGAGACCAGTTTCTACGTCAACATCTTGACTGCGCTAGCCGCAGTCGAGACCGAAGTCATTGTCTCACACCCCCATCCGCCGGAGCAAACGTGATGTGCTCTATATTTTAAATATCAGTAGCACTACCCTAAATACTGTGATTGGCAAACAAAAGAACCCGTAGATAGAAAACCCTCGAAAAGGTTACTGCCAGCATGCCCAATGGTGACCTCTCTTCTCTCTAATTCCACGTCCTAATTGCATGTCCTCCTTCAAGTTGTGAAGCCCCATTACGGTAACAGCCCCACATAAGCCAAGACCTGAGTTTTGTATATCTTAACTTAAATTACTCCTCCGGATATCTGTTACAGTGTAATTTTTTGTAGAGGACCAGTGATTATTGAGGCACGCTCTCGTTTTTAATCGGGGCAGCTCCTTGATCAGTTGCTGAGGCAAGATATTACGTAGTAAAATTAATGTCAATAACCTAGAGTTTATAACACTTTCTTGAATCTTTCTTGATCCATTTTTGGAATCAGAACTATATACTACATGAGTACAAACAACTTTACATCGTTACATCATTAAGGTCTATTTCATATGACACACTTCCTCTTTTCCCCAGCAACATTAGCTGATACCGACGCAATGAAAATCAGTTGATGAAAGATCTATTAATATAAACCAAAAATTAATCTGGAGGACTCGTAGCAGGATGGCTCGGCCGACATTGATAAAAGTAATCGTTTTAGATATGCTTGTATCTGCTTTCGACTTCGATTCGGATGCGTTTTCTCTTGGCTATGACAGATACGTTGGTTATAATGAGCGATTGCATCGATACGGCTGAAAGACGATGAATTTATCTATGCCGGCGCCTGAGTTGCTAGAGAAATAAGGCCTCTCTTATTCAAAAGGTTATTTCGATGTATCCTCATAAACATATCTATAACACTATTAGCTCTTTGCGCACACACTGAATGACTCTCTCGGCTTCAGGGTTGTTGAAATCTAAACATATCAGACCGAACTGCACGCAGTGCGGAGTAGACGAAGACTACTCATCTTCGATCGCTACCAGCTTTGGTGATGATGATGATGATGACCTTTATTTTACGTCTGGCGAGCCACGCGCTCGACGCGTGGCCCTATTAAGTCTCTACCAAGACAAAAGACGCCAGGGTCTAATCCCTGGGCTTCTACATATTCGAAAGGAAAGGAAATGGAAGGAGAAGAAACCAATACGAGACTTTATATACATAGAAAGTGCATTTACATAGCTACTTCCCGCAGATTACTAAGCTCTTGTGTGGTGATGTAATGATTTCTCGGCGCCATTCCCTACGTAGGTTAGACCACATTCCCTGTTGACCTCCACTGCCGAAAAAATAAAATTTGTTGCTCCATTGAGTTACTTGTCTTTCTTTTTTAGCTAGCTTGCCTTAGGCATCCATTGAATCTGCAAGGTGTTATATGGGCATATCTCTGTAACGAATCAAGTTTCTTGTAGCCATTCCCCGAATTTTCGCCCCCCTTCATATGTGCCAAGAATGAACGGGATCATCTTTGAAGGTGGACCTTGCATAAGACGTGATCCTCTTTTACCTATATGGCAGTAGAAAAAATGTAGTGGGGCCTTTCTACGGCCTTATCGGCAGTATTTTGGTGCATTCTCGTGGTTGGAGCGCTTGTGGTAGTTGGCGAAATCGCCATGCCCAGATCTAGCTGCCAGGATACGGCCTAGAGTGGCACGCGAGAGGGTGAGTTCTTTAGGCCTAGAGGGAGCTGATATAATTCCTAGTTTCTCATAGCTTATGTGCTGGGGGAGAAGATTTCTCCATAGTCTGCCAGTGGCTTACGTTGTGGACTCATTTGCCCAGCGCTTTAGACCAGCATATGAGAAAAATAGGTCATCTGAAGTTGGTAAATGGCAGCCATTTTTCGCGGCTTTATCGGCGGCTTCATTTCCAATTATGGATGTGTGGCTCGGAACCCATCGAACCAGTATTTGGCCCCGTCTAGTGTGGGCAAGCCGAGAGCGTTCTTGCCACTTGTGTGTCAAGGTGAGGAACTCATCAAATTGCGCTTGTGAGGACTCTGAAAAGTGAGACAAGAGTCGAGTGGCAACCTCTAAGTTAACTAGACAAATCTAGAGGTCTGTAGCGAATTTAGTAGTTGGGAGTGCTAGTGCAGATTTTGTCCATTCTAGGGCGCCTTTCACTTCCGCATCAAAAATTTCGACGCCCTTTCCAAGAGCGATACCCTTATGTTGAACTTGTACACCACCTTGGTAGCTGATAAAGCCAGCGCCTGCCAGGCCATTTAGTTGCTTAGAGCCATCTGAGTAGATAATAATGTCTCCAAAGGGGATAGTATGGAGGAAGTCAAGGAAAACTTGTCTGTTTTTATCTGCGGAGCCACTGTTCGGTCCAGCCACCCGGGAGTGTGGGGCTTCTCGGCACTCACGTGGATTCCAGGGAGGCATGGCAATTGAATTGATTTGCTCTGATTTTGGAAGAGACAGTACACGCTGAGTAAAACGAGAGGTAGGACGCTGTAAACTGAGAACTCTGTTAGCTCGGCGTAATAGCGGATATCGAGGATCTAGATGGCGTAGTCGGACTGTAGCTGTAAGCACACGGCCATCGAGAGCTATTTCCGGTTGCTGTAACCCTGGTTCACAGTGTAGGATCGCTGTTGGTGTGGTGCAATACACTGGAAGTGTTGCACGGGCGGAAGTGAGTACTATTGAAGGGTGGTGATGTATATGGTTGTATACACTTGTTATCTTCAATTAAATGGTTGTGACTACTCAGGGGGCTTAGAATATAATTGAGTGATTATGGCAATAAATGTTACAGGATGCGAATGGTATCTTATTGTGCTATTGTTATTGTTATGTTATATTACAGGTTATCTACATGATAATTAACCAATCCCACATACTTGCAGATAGCGCCGTAGCTAGTCTCTTTTAGGAGTGATCTACGGGTGAGTGTAACGATCGGTGGTATCTAATTTATCACTAACCTGTTTCCATTTCCCTGGCTCTGCATGCTACACTACGTGGATGACGATTTACTACTAATGTGAAAAGCGAATTCATGACAAGTACGACCTTTGAAAGCTGCTGTAGTAGAGAGTCTACACGGTTTGATATGCGTGCTTTGGGACCTTGTCTAGATCTACCTGGCCACCAAGTTTCTGAGGCGTAATACGCAATGGGGAAGACACATGCATCAACTGCATGACGCAGCAAATGAGGTGAAACCCCTCTTGTCGTGTTTCCAAGGGATAAAAGAGCATAGCTAACCTTGAGGGCCTTTGAGGCAAGGGTTTGGGCATGCCACTTAAAGGAGAGTTTTT